TTAGGATTTTGCATACATAGAATAAAATAAAAGCAAAACACATACAAAGGGAGAATAAAATAAAATTCACACAATCAAATCTTCAAGAATACCCAAATGAAAGAAATAAGAGTATCAAAAATCTAAAGTTGAAAACACTTATATATAAAAAAGCAACTTCCAGCTATCTATTCCACCATCTGTGTATTTACACACACACATACCCCACACATGTGTACACATGCACATACAGGCTGAGTACTCCTTATCTGAAGTCCGAAATTCTGTCCACCTTTGCTCTCTAATGGTTCAAAGGACAGAAGCTTTGTTTCATGCACAAAGTTATTTTAGAATATATGGCAGTGTGGCCTCAGATAACCCAGTTCAAAGCAGATATTGTGGAATTTTCTGCCTTGATATTCTGGGTTATATGGCTGTGTGGAAGGGCCCTTAAATTCCAATAGCTGATTCAGCTGTTGGAGCTCTACCAGCAGGTCATTCTTCAGTTGTGGGGCAGCCAATAAAGAGGCCCAAAAGGACATCCAGTCCAACCCCCTTCTGACAGACAGGAAAAGTACAATCCAATCCCTCCCAACAGATGGTCATCCAGCCTCTGCTTAAAAAGGAGGAGCCTCCACCACACTAAAGGTCCAATAGTTAGATCAGCTGTCGGAATTTAAAAGCATATCTCTTCTAGCAGGCCTAACCAGCCACACCCTGTCATATGTTTTGGTCTCTGTCCTGTGTGATTAATGTGTATTTCACAGAAATAGAATCATAGAGTTGGAAGAGACCTCATGGGCCATCCAGTCCAACCCCATTCTGCCAAGAAGCAGGAATATTGCATTCAAAGCACCCCTGACAGATGGCCATCCAGCCTCCGCTTAAAAGCCTCCAAAGAAGGAGCCTCCACCACACTCCTTGCGGGGCAGAGAGTTCCACTGCTGAACGGCTCTCACAGTCAGGAAGTTCTTCCTAATGTTCAGGTGGAATCTCCTTTCTTGTAATTTGAAGGCATTGTTCCATTGCGTCCTAATCTCCAGAGCAGCAGAAAACAAATTCGCTCCCTCCTCCGTATGACTTTCTCTCACGTATTTATACATTACTATCAAGTCTCCTCTCAGCCATCTCTTCTTCAGACTAAACATGCCCAGCTCTTTAAGCTGCTCTTCATAGGGCTTGTTCTCCATACCCTTGATAAATTGAGTCACCCTCCTCTGGACACATTCCAGCTTAGAGTCAATCTCTCTCTTGAATTGTGGTGCCCAGAATAGGACACAATATTCCAGGTATGGTCTAACCAAGGCGGAATAGAGCATGGGGAGCAAGACTTCCCTGGATCTAGAGACTAGACTCCTATACTCCTATTGATGCAGGCCAAAATTCCATTGGCTTTTTTTGTTGCCACATCACTTCGTTGTCCATGAGGACTCCAAGGTCTTGCACCCACTTCTATGACAGACATCCTCAGAGGTGTGAGGTCTGTTGGAAAATTGGGTTTATATATCTCTGGAATGTCCAGAGTGGAAGAAAGAACTCTTGACACTATGCTCCTCTTGATGCAGGCCAAAATCCCATTGGCTTTTTTTGCCGCCACATCACATTGTTGGCTCATGTTTAACTTGTTGTCCACGAGGACTCCAAGATCTTTTTCACACGTACTGCTCTCGAGCCAGGCATCCCCCATTCTGTATCTTTACATTTCGTTTTTCCTGCCAAAGTGGAGTATCTTGCATTTGTCACTGTTGAACTTCATTTTGTTAGTTTTGGCCCATCTCTCTAATCTGTCAAGATCGTTTTGAATCCTGCTCCTGTCCTCTGGAGTATCGGCTATCCCTCCCAATTTGGTGTCATCTGCAAACTTGATGATCATGCCTTCTAACCCTTCATCTAAGAAATTAAAATCCCACATTTTCTGCTTTGAACTGGAATATATGGCAGTGTAGGCTCAGACATCCCAGATCAAAGAAGATATTGTGAGATTTCCTGCCTTGATATTCTGGGTTATATGGCTGTGTGGAAGGGCCCTAATAGGCTTCGGCCTACTAACTCTTTCAGTGCTGGATTCACAGTTTTGTAATCATGTGTAATCATTTGGAGGGACTTCTGGTTGCTTCTGAACCAGGGGAGTGTGCTTGCTCCATCCATGTTCAACATTTACACAAATGACCAGCCACTGCCAGAAGGGACAGAGAGTTTCATCTATGCTGATGATCGTGCCATTACCGCTCAAGCAGGGAGCTTTGAGATGGTTGAACAGAAGCTCTCCGAAGCTCTAGGTGCTCTTACTGCCCATTACAGGGAAAACCAGCTGATTTCTAACGCATCTAAAACACAGACATGTGCCTTTTGCCTTTTTTTTTTTTTGTCATGTCAGGAGCAACCGCTCCTGTTGTGAGATAATTGGCCGTCTGCAAGGACATTGCTCAGGGGATGCATGGATGATTTTTGATGGGAGGCTTCTCTCATGTCCCTGCATGAGGAACTGGAGCTAATAGAGGGAGCTCATCCGCTTCTCCCCAGATTCGAACCTGCGACCTGTCGGTCTTCAGTCCTGCCGGCACAGGGGTTTAACCCACTGCGCCACCGGGGGCTCCTTCCTTTCACCTTAAGAACAGACAAGCATCCCGAGCTCTGAGGATTACTGGGAAGGAATCCCACTGGAGCATTGCAACACACCCAAATACCTGGGAGTCACTTTGGACCGTGCTCTGACCTACAAGAAGCACTGCCTGAACATCAAGCAAAAAGTGGGCGCTAGAAACAATATCATACGAAAGCTGACTGGCACAACCTGGGGATCACAACCAGATACAGTGAAGACATCTGCCCTTGTGCTTTGCTACTCTGCTGCTGAGTATGTATGCCCAGTGTGGAACACATCTCACCATGCTAAAACAGTGGATGTGGCTCTTAATGAGACATGGCGCATTATCATGGGGTGCCTGCGCCCTACACCACTGGAGACATTACACTGCTTAGCCCAGGGGTCCTCAAACTTTTAAAACGGAGGGCCAGGTCACAGTCCCTCAAACTGTTGGAGGGCCAGATTATAATTTGAAAAAAGCATGAATGAATTCCTTTGCACACTGCACATATCTTATTTGTAGTGCAAGAAACACTTTAAAACAATACAATAATTAAAATGAAGAACAATTTTAACAAACATAATCTTATTAGCGTTTCAATGGGAAGTGTGGACCTGCTTTTGGCTGCTCTCAAGTCGTTTCAGACTTAGGTTGACCCAGAGCGAGGGCTGGGTAAATGACCTTGGAGTGCCGTATCAGACCCCGGGCCTTAGTTTGAGGACCCCTGCTTAGTCGGTATTGCACCACCTGACATCCGCCGGGAAGTAGCAGCCAATAGTGAAAGGACCAAGGCAGAGACATCTCCAGCTCATCCCTTGTTTGGGTATCAGCCAGCACGTCAACGACTTAAATCAAGAAATAGTTTTCTAAGACCTACAGAGACACTTGCTGGAACACCTCAGCAAGCGAGAGTCCAAAAGTGGCAGGCTCAAACCCAGAACCTCAATCAATGGCTGATACCAAATGAGAGCCTCCCCCCTGGGCACACAGAAGACTGGGCGACTTGGAAGGCGCTGAACAGACTGCGCTCTGGCACCACGAGATGCAGAGCCAACCTTCAGAAATGGGGCTACAAAGTGGAATCCACGACATGCGAGTGCGGAGAAGAGCAAACCACTGACCACCTGCTGCAATGCAACCTGACCCCTGCCACATGCACAATGGAGGACCTTCTTGCGGCAACACCAGAGGCACTCCAAGTGGCCAGATACTGGTCAAAGAATTTAATCATAGAATCATAGAATCAAAGAGTTGGAAGAGACCTCATGGGCCATCCAGTCCAACCACCTGCCAAGAAGCAGGAATATTGCATTCAAATCACCCCTGACAGATGGCCATCCAGCCTCTGTTTAAAAGCTTCCAAAGAAGGAGCCTCCACCACGCTCCGGGGCAGAGAGTTCCACTGCTGAACGGCTCTCACAGTCAGGAAGTTCTTCCTCATGTTCAGATGGAATCTCCTCTCTTGTCGTTTGAAGCCATTGCTCCCTTGCGTCCTAGTCTCCAGGGAAGCAGAAAACAAGCTTGCTCCCTCCTCCCTGTGGCTTCCTCTCACTTATTTATACATGGCTATCATATCTCCTCTCAGCCTTCTCTTCTTCAGGCTAAACATGCCCAGCTCCTTAAGCCGCTCCTCATAGGGCTTGTTCTCCAGACCCTTGATCATTTGAGTCGCCCTCCTCTGAACACATTCCAGCTTGTCAATATCAACTACCAAGCTTGCAAAACTTGTGCTTTTTTATCTGTTTGTTTGTTTTGCTCTGTTAGAAAAGTAATACAATGGTATGCTTGCTGATGACATGATAAATAAATAAATTTGGAGGGATGGATCTAGAATACCTCCAAGAGGAGGAGTGGGCCTGGTTGACACGCCTCCACAACCAGATTAGGGCCTTTGATGGCAGGCACCTCTGTCGTGTCTGGATTCAGTCTCAATGTCTTTTCAGTCTCAATCTGCAGCAGGCTTGGGCCAACTTGGGCCCTCCTCCTCTGATTAAACACATTCTGATTAAGCATGTAACTGTGGCCAAAACTCCCAGTCTCGGCTAGCTTCTTGCATTTTTCAGTTAATACACTCTGATTAAACATGTAACTGTGCCCAAAACTCCCAGGCTCGGCTAGCTTCTTGCATTTTTCAGTTAACACACTCTGATTAAACATGTAACTGTGGCCAGAACTCCCAGGCTCAGCTAGCTTCTTCCAACTTGAGCCCTCCAGGTTAAGCGGCTGAGGGGGAAAAGGAAAGGGCCTGAGGTTGTTAGGAATGCTGGGAGTTGGAGTCCAAAACACCTGGAGGGCCCAAGTTGGCCCAGGCCTGCTCTAGACTATCCACAAAGGCCTTTTCCAAAGCCTTCCTTGCCTGGGAAAGGCCTACAAAAAGCAGGAGCCTCTTTTGAGGCCTAGCCGAGGCCTCCTCGCCCGCCCCCGGGCCCTTACCGGACGCCCCCGGCCGCTACATCCCACTCCATCCACTTCCTCCGCCGCTTCTGCCGCCACCGGAAGTCTCCCTCAGACGAAAAAAGGAGAGGGAGGAGCCGCAGCGAAGGCCGCTTCCGGTGTGGAAGCGTCACGTGACCAATGGAGGGTGGCACTTCCCTATCTTCAAAAGATTACTCCTCTCAGGACTTTATTTCCCAGAAGCCTCAGCCAAGGCGGTCAATGGGAAGGCTTTCTGGGAGATGGAGTCCACAAGGCCTGAAGAGGCTACCTCTCAGGATTTTTTTTGGACTTCATTTCCCAGAAGCCTCAGACGCTTTGGTCAATAGGAAGGGTTTCTGGGAGATGGAGTCCACAAGGCCTTATGGAAGGAAGTGACGCCAGGAGTCCACAAAGCCTGAAGAGGCTCCCTCTCAGGATTTTTTTTTTGGACTTCATTTCCCAGAAGCCTCTGCCGCTTTAGTCAATGGGAAGCGTTTCTGGGAGATGTAGTCCAGAATTGCCTGAAGAGTCTATTTTATGGAAGGAAGTGACGGCATCGGACAGCGATGCCGCCTCGTTTCTGCCTCCCGGCTTCCTGGCGTGGTTTCTTCGAGGTCAGGTGAGGGGCTGGAGGGCAGTGGGAGCGACTGGGCCGGACTGGGAACTACTGGGATAGGCAGATAGCCTCAAGTGATGGTTTGAGCCACTGGACTAGGCCTCAATGGGGGTTGTGGCACCACTTTCAACTGCTGTGGCTCAATGCTGTGGAATCATGGGAGGTGTAGTTGGACGAGGCCTAGAATCCAAAGGGTATCAAACTGCGTTAATTCCACAGTGTAGACAAGGCCTGAGCCAACTTGGGCCCTCCAGGTGTTTTGGACTTCAATTCCCACCATTCCTAGATTTATTTATTTATCGTGTCATCCGCAACCATACCATTGTATTACATTTCTAACAGAACAAAACAAACAAACAGATTAAAAAAGCACAAATTTTGCAAACTTGGTAGTTGATTAAATGTCCTTTGACCAGTATCTGGCCACTTGGAGTGCCTCTGGTGTTGCCGCAAGAAGGTCCTCCATTGTGCATGTGGCTGGGCTCAGGTTGCATTGCAGCAGGTGGTCAGTGGTTTGCTCTTCTCCGCACTCGCATGTCGTGGATTCCACTTTTGGCCCCATTTCTTGAGGTTGGCTCTGCATCTCATGGTGCCCGAGCGCAGTCTGTTCAGCGCCTTCCAAGTCGCCCAGTCTTCTGTGTGCCCAGGGGGGAGTCTCTCATTTGGTATCAGCCATTGGTTGAGGTTCTGGGTTTGAGCCTGCCACTTTTGGACTCTCGCTTGCTGAGGTGTTCCAGCGAGTGTCTCTGTAGATCTTAGAAAACTATTTCTTGATTTAAGTCGTTGACGTGCTGGCTGATACCCAAACAGGGGATGAGCTGGAGATGTCTCTGCCTTGGTCCTTTCACTATTGGCTGCAACTTCCCGGCGGATGTCAGGTGGTGCAATACCGGCTAAACAGTGTAATTTCTCCAGTGGTGTAGGGCGCAGACACCCTGTGATAATGCGGCATGTCTCATTAAGAGCCACATCCACTGTTTTAGTGTGGTGAGATGTGTTCCACACTGGGCATGCATACTCAGCAGCAGAGTAACACAGCGCAAGGGCAGATGTCTTCACTGTATCTGGTTGTGATCCCCAGGTTGTGCCAGTCAGCTTTCGTATGATGTTGTTTCTAGCGCCCACTTTTTGCTTGATGTTCAGGCAGTGCTTCTTGTAGGTCAGAGCACGGTCCAGAGTGACTCCCAGGTATTTGGGTGCACTGCAATGCTCCAGTGGGATTCCTTCCCAGGTAATAATCCTCAGAGCTCGGGATGCTTCTCTGTTCTTGAAATGGGAGGCACATGTCTGTGTTTTAGATGGGTTGGGGATCAGCTGGTTTTCCCTGTAATAGGCAGTAAGATATAGGACTGTATGGAAGGGCCCTTAGACTCCTACATCCCTTTCTCCCTATCTCTGTGCATTTCTTTTTTAGTGCCAAAGTGTAGCAATGTATATTTCTCCCTTTTCACTGATTCCGCCAGACATGCCTTTCTGCTTTAAGAGATTACAGTTTCCAGTCAAGATGGCATTTGGGCCAGTCACTCAAATGCTGTGGTATCAACTTACAATCACCATGCAATAATAATAATAATAATAATAATGTTGCAATCCCAGGCGACAGCAGGATTGAAGAGAAACAACTGGAAAAGCTGACATGATATAAGTATTTAAAGATTGAATCCAAAGACTCTGGCACAAACCAATCAAGGGGGTCCCAGTGGTGATCGGCACACTGGGTGGAGTGCTTAAAGACCTTATTTATTTTATTTATTTGGGGTGCTTCTACCCTGCCCTTCTCAACCCCCTAGGGGGGACTCAGGGCAGCTTACAAAAGGCACAATTTGATGCCGGCAGTTACAAAATACAATACAATATACAATACACAATTTACCATATACTATCACAGTTATAACTAATTAAAACAATCAACAGTATACTAGCATCAATAAAACATCTAGTGGTCAATGTTCACCAATCTGAAGTCCGTAAACCATTTTGCATTGTCATTGCCTTTCCTACTCTGGTCATTATTGGTTGTCTTTGTCCATCTGCCAGCTTACCCGAAAGCCTGGTCCCACATCCAGGTCTTTAGCATCCTTCTGAAGGAGAGGAGGGATGTTGATGTCCTAATTTCCCCGGGGAGTGCATTCCACAGACGAGGGGCCACCACCGAGAAGGCCCTGTCCCTCGTCCCCACCAGTCTTGCTTGTGATAAAGGCGGGGCCGAGAGCAGGGCCCCCCCAGCAGATCTTAGATTACGAGGTGGGATGTAGAAGGAGATATGTTCGGACAGGTACGCTGGGCTGGAGCCGTAAAGGGTTTTGTAGGTTAAAACCAGCACTTTGAATTGTGCTCGGAACTGGATTGGCAGCCAGTGGAGCTGACATAACCGGGAGATGGTATGCTCCCTGTATGACGCTCCGGTGAGTAGTCTGGCCGCCGCCCGTTGGACTAGTTGAAGTTTCCGAACAGTCTTCAAAGGCAACCCCACGTAGAGTGTGTTGCAGTAATCTATTCGGGATGTAACAAGAGCGTGGACCACCGTGGCCAGATCCGACCTTGGCCTGCACTTAAATACAATTGGTGCTTACAAGATTACCATCTGCCATCTGCAAAAGGCCACCCTATTGGGATGTGCACGCATTATTTGCTGATACATCACACAGCCTAGACACTTGGGAACTGTCTGACGTGTGATCCAATACAACAGCCAGCAGAGTGTTTGCTGTAGACTCATCTTGTTGTGTTTCTAATAATAATAATAATAACAATAATAATAATAATAATAATAATAATAATTTGTTTGTACCCCACCCTATCTCCCCCTGGGGACTCAGGGTGGCTTCCAACATTATAACAGGCAAACATTCAATGCCTATATAAACAAACAAAAAAACCCAAAAGTTTTAAACGAAAGACAACACTAAATATTGTACAATAAACTAAAATAAACAGTTGCATTAAGTAATTATCATTAAATGCAATTAAAAAACAGGTGAGATAAAGTTTCATATCAGTTCCCTTTTGCTTTCTCTCAGGCTTCTATTGACACAGCCTAGAATGGCATTGGCCTTTTCAGCTGCAGGGCTGGTGTTCAGCTGTGGGCTGGTGTTCAGCTTGTGCTCACCTTGTGAAGTTGAGACTCTATCCCTATCCAGTAGGATCCACTTGTTTTCGGAAAAACTCTTTATCTGTCTCAGCTGTTGCTTTGGCAATCAAGCCCTCCTGCTCATTCTGCTTCATGTGTTTTCCCCTTGGACAGTTATCTATCGCATGTGCAAGAGTAGGTTCCCCAAATAATTTGTTTGTTTATGCTCCAGGTGGGTAATCAAAACAATATTGTTTATAAACAAGTTTTGAAATGAATTATCTATTTTATTATTATTATTATTAAACTTTATTTGTATCCCGTTAGCATCTCCCGAAGGACTCGATGCAGCTTACAAAGGCTGAGACCTCAACACACAATACAACAATACAAACCTAAGCAAATTAAAAACAATTAAAGCAATCTATTCTGCCACATTGATATTTTGCCACCCTCTGTTTTTTCCAACGTGCTTTGCATGTTTCTAGGGACCCTTCCACACAGCTCTATTCCTAGAATATCAAGGCAGAAAATCTCACAATATTTGTTGTGAATTGGGTTATCTGAGTCCACACTGCCATATATTCCAGTTCAAAGCATATAATGTGGGATTTTATTTGGCTGTGTGGAAGGGGCCTAGATTTTCCACTTACCTGAGATGGAGTTACAAGAGCAAAGAACAGAAACTACATTTGATATTAGCCGAAGGGCCGAGAAGCCAGTCAGCCGATTCCTAAACCACCTAACAGTTGCACGTCCAAAGCAATTTCTCTGCTCTCTCATCCTAACAAGACTGTAGTTGGAAGAGACTGAAAGTGACATCCAGTCCAACCACCTTCTGCCAAACAGGAAAAACACAATTCGATCTCTCCCGACAGGTGGCCATCTAGCCTCTGCGTAAATGCCTTCAAAGAAGGAGCCTCCAATGGACTCCAAGGCAGAGTGTTCCACTGCTGAACAGTGCTAACCACCTGGAAGGTCTTACTAACGTTGAGGTGGGATCTCTTTTCCTGGGATGTGAATATTGTAACATAATAAATGAAAGGATCAAGCATCTCCTACAAGGGAAAAGATTTGTTTCTAGCCCTTCCATGTATTACCCCACTGGATGAGTGTCTCTCATTCAGAAGATCTCCATAAATCAGAACCAACTTGATAGTGAGTAGTGACACTATCAGCAGCAGAACAACAATGAAGTTTAAAAGATTTTAACTGTTAATTTCTTAGTACTGCTTATATTTCTATTCTATAGCTTTGGGCACAGCTACATTGTAGAATTATTGCAATTTAACACACTTGACATGACCTGCCCTGGCCCAATTATATAGAACCGTGGGATCTGTAGTTTGGTGAAACACCAGCCCTCTTTGGCAGAAAAGGCTAAGGACCTTGCAAAACTACAACTCCTAGGATTCAATAGCATTGAGGCTATGTCCATTCAATTGTTGTCAAATTGCATTTGTTCTGCAGTGTAGATGCACCTTTTTTGTCCCATTTTCTACTGCTTTAGGGAGTTGTTACAATAATATTGTGTGCACAGAGAACATCATAAAACTCCTTTCTTTTATTGTTCCTTTATTGCAGAATGAGAGTGAGGGTTAATGAGAAAATGACAGGCCTGCAGCCAAACTAAGGCGTTTACTGCAAAAAAAGGTGAGGTCTAAATCAACGGTTTCCCCACCTGTAACTTTAGCCTGTTAACTGTTAAAATGCTATTGCAACTTTGGTTTCCCGAGTGAGTGTGGTTGCATCACATTGCTGTCGAAGCTCCCATGCTCCACACCGGTGTATTTGAAGCAAAAGACAGCAGAAGATTCCTAAACTGCTAACCAGGATTGGCCTGGATTATTACTTGAGTGGGAAATCGCCAGGAAGGGAGACTGGGAATCTTCTGGGAAGGATCTGTCTGAAATCTTCTTAGGTGCAGTTGCTTCTTCTGTAAGGCCCCATCTACACTGCCATTTAAAATCCAGATGGTCTGTTTTGTACTGGATTACACTAGGCTCCTTCTACCCTGAAATAAAATACAGATTATCAAGGCAGATAATCCACATTATCTGCTTTGAACTGGATTAGATGAGTACACTACCAGATATTCCAATTCAAAGCAGATAATCTGGATTTTATAGGACAGTGTAGAAGGGCCCTCAATCTGCACGGACCCTTTGTGATCTAATCTCCATCGGGAGAGAGTTCCACAGCCGAGGGGCCACCACCAAGAAGGCCCTGTCTCTCGTCCCCACCAGATGCAATTGCGAAGGTGGTGGGACCGAGAGCAGGGCCCCTCCAGAAGGGATTAGCAACCATAGGGGAGAATCCGTTTGGACAGGTAAACTGGTCAGAAGTGGTCTTTCTGTATTGTAGGGCCACACTCTTCCTTCCTTAGGCTTGGAAATAAAGGTACCTAGTAAATCATTCATATTCCCACAGATCTTGGGCCATGAGCTGATGCCCCTCCAGCGCACCTTCATTTCCAAGGCTTCTTCGTTTCCAGGATGGCCGCCAAGCTGGCCCAGCGCTGGTTCCGTCTCTACAGGGTCTCCTCTCCATTGTGCCTCCAGGCCAGCGCCGGTTCCGCTAGAATCCAAGTGGCGAGAGTCTCATCCCAGCTGCCGCTCGCCTTAGTGACCACCTGTAGCGGCTCAGTGCCGGCAGACAAGCCCTCTGTCAAGGAGCCGCCTAGGACGCCCCCGGAGCTCAGCCCTCTGGATCACATCATCGGCAAGACCCCCACGGCCGAGGAACTCTTGCGCTTAGTGGACCTTTACCCCATCAATGGAAACCAGGCCGCCCTGATTATAACGCGGCTCTCCCGGATGGTGACCGAGAAGAAACTGGACCCTGGGAGCTTTATGGAAGACGCCCGCTTTCAGCAGCTGCTTCAGACCGTGCACACGCAGGTAAGTCCCGTGCTTCTTGGCTGGAAACAGTGGTTGAAATCCTGTGTAGTCAAACATGGCTACAATGATGGTACTCGGGCATTTTGCTAGTTCAGATGATGCCAGTCCTTCGAGACCTGCCCTTAACCCAGGCAGACTTCCAGCTGAAGTCTTCCTGTTGATCAGTGTTTCTCAACCTGGGGGTCGGGACCCTTGGTGGGGGTCACGAGGGGATATCAGAGGGGCCGCCAAAGACCACCAGAAAACACAGTATTTTCTCTTGGTCATGGGGTTTTCTGTGGGAAATGTGGCCCAATTCTATCATTGCTGGGGTTCAGAATGCTTTTGATTTTTGGTGAACTATAAATCCCAGCATCTACAATTCCCAAATGGCAAGGTTCAATTTCCCCAAACTCCATCAGTGTTCACATTTGGGCATATTCAGTATTTGTGCCAAGTTTGGTCCAGATCCATCATTGTTTGATTCCACAATGCTCTCTGGATGTAGCTGAACTACAACTCCAAAACTAATAATAATAGATAAGAAGATTTAAAGATCGAACTGCAAAGACTCTGGCACAAACCAGTCAAGGTGGTACCAGTGGTGATTGGCACACTGGGTGCAGTGCCTAAAGACCTTGGTCTGCACTTAAACACAATCACCAACTACCAGCTGCAAAAGGCCACCTTACTGGGATCTGCCTGCACCATTCGCCCATACATCACACAGTTCTAGACACTTGAGAAGGATCCGACGTGTGATCCAATACAACAGCCGGCAAAGTGACCTTGTTTGCTGTGGACTCCTCTTGTGGTGCTTCAAATAATAATAATATCAATAGGAGTATAGTGTCTAGAAGTCATGCTCCCCATGCTCTATTCTGCCTTGGTTAGACCACACCTGGAATATTGTGTCCAATTCTGGGCACCACAATTCAAGAGAGATATTGACAAGCTGGAATACTGTGTCCAGAGGAGGGTGACTCAAATGATCAAGGGTCTGGAGAACAAGCCCTATGAGGAGCAGCTTAAAGAGCTGGGCATGTTCAGCCTGAAGAAGAGAAGGCTGGGAGGAGACATGATGGGAGCCATGTATAAATATGTGAGAGGAAGTCATAGGGAGGAGGGAGCGAACTTGTTTTCTGCTGCCCTGGAGACTAGGACAAACAACATTTTAAACCAGGCATGGGTCAACTTCAGCCCTCCCTCCAGGTGTTTTGGACTTCAAATCCCACAATTCCTAACATCCAAAATACCTGGAGGGAGGGCCAAAGTTGGCCCATGCCTGTATCAAGAACATTACTGTCCTAGATTGTCAAGATATAACAACTTTATATAACTTCTCTGAGTCCCTTTGGGGAGATAGAGTGGTATATAAGTGTTGTTGTTGTTGTTGTTGTTATAATTATTATTATTTGCACTTTGAATTTTTTTTGCTAAGCTCAGAGGCAAACATGTGCCTCTACCTATGAGCATTGAGCAAATAGGCATACAGTGTTCCCTCACTTATCGCGGGGGTTCAGTTCCAGGACCACCCGCGATAAGTGAAAATCCGCGAAGTAGGGATGCTATATTGATATTGATATTTATACATTCTTTTATATATTATTTCTTACCCGTGCTTCCTTACCTGCCTCCTGGCCCATCTCGAGGGCGCCTGCCTACCTCCCTGGCCTCCGCAGCCACGCAGGCAGCAGCAGGCCAGGGAGGCAGGCCTTCCCCACCACGTCTCAGGCTGCCACACTTCTGGGGCCTGTGGAGGCCAGGGAAGCAGGCCTTCCCCACCGCACCTCAAGCTGCCACACTTCCAGGGTTCCCGACCTCCGCTTTTCAAAAACCCGCAAAACAGCGAGTCCAGGAAAAGCGAACTGCGAAGTAGCGAGGGAACACTGCATGTCCAGGGGCTGTTGTGGTTCAACAGTCTCCTGAACAGCCTGATGGGTTTGAGTCTCCTGAGCAGCCTGATGGGTTTCAATTTTCTCAGCCACAGTTTTCTCAGCCTGCAGTAGAGTTGGAGAAGCAGTTCTCACAGGACAGGAATGCAGATAAGGATGAGGCCCAGGTGCTGCTTCAAAGAGATAACAGAACTGTGAGAAGGAGCTCGCGGATCGCTGCCAAGTTAGGTCAGCGACGGGTCAAGGGAGCAGTGGGAAAGTCGATTGTTTTGATGTGTAAAAGTATTTAGGGCTTTCACTGGCAATTCACAGCTGTCAGTTTCAACGTAGCTATGCTAGCAGCTTCATGATCCTGCATTGGGAGACAGGAGGCTTGGAGCCTGGGTTTCTTCGTGCTGCTTTTGGATTAAGTTGCATGGCACAGGGTTTGTGCTTCCTACTTCATGACTCTTGATTATCCTGATTTTCTCTGAAGGATTTCCATGCATTTTACTGAACTTTGTATTGACTTAACCTTTGCCTTCTTTTGGAAACCTTACAATAAACCATAATTCTTACAGCCGTGGTCTGGTGGTGTTTGAGAGCAAGGTGAAGCTTAATCTGAGGCACAACAGGGGCTTGGTGTTGCAGTCCAGGACAGGAAAATCCCTCTGACTTTAAACACCACACCATTGGAACAATTGGATGATGAGACTGGATCTTGATTTTAACTATGAGACGATATGAGATTTTGTATGATGTTTAATTTATTGTTATAATGCTGTTGTTTTAATTGTTTTTAACTGTTTTATGATGTTTTAAGCATTGAATTTTGCTATTGTGAACCGCCCTGAGTTGCCCGAGGGCTGAGAAGAGCGGTATACAAATATAGTAATTAAATAAATAAATTTTATTGAAGATAATTTAAAAGCAACAAGGTAAAAAACACTTTAAAGAAATAGGTAAATCAAGTTAAGTAGAAAGATAAGCAGGAACAAAGTAGTCCAGGGTAATAGTGCAGCAAAGTCCATAAAAACAAAGGCAAAACTTCCCAAATAACTTGCAAAGAATCAGGAAACATTAACCCAGGGGTCCTCAAACTTTTTAAACAGAGGGCCAGGTCACAATCCCTCAAACTGTTGGAGAACTGGATTATAATTTGAAAAAAAAAATTTGAATTCCTATGCACACTGCACATATCTTATTTGTAGTTCAAAAAAATTAAAAACAATACAATAATTAAAATGAAGACCAATCTTAACAAACATAAATTTATTAGTATTTCAATGGGATGTGTGGGCCTGCTTTTGGCTGATGAGATAGGGTTGTTGTTGTTGTTGTTGTGTGCTTTTGAGTCGTTATGGACTTAGGTTGACCCTGAGTGAGGGCCAGGTAAATGACCTTGGAGGGCCGCATCCGGCCCCCGGGCCTTAGTTTGAGGACCCCTGCATTAACCCAAGGCATGAATATAGACCATAAAATCCAAGAATCAAAACCGTGAAACAAAGGCACTTAAAACATGAATTTCCCAGGCAAAACTTCCATGAACAAGAATGAGATCTTGACTTGATTCCAAACGTTGCTTCAGCTGACTACATATCCTGTACTTGGGGCTTTTACTTCCTTCTTAGCTATGTCTTTAGCACTCAGAAATGGGTTTCGCTTTAGCTGAGAATTGCTTATCTTTTTCTCTCGGAGCCTGGCAGACCGCCAAAGCCACTGTTCGGCTCTCCTGTTTTGACTGATCTTGTGTCTATCTATTTGCTCATTAATTTCTGCAGCTGGGCCAGGTGCTGAGCTGTTTTCATGTTCCCTATCATGGGAACTCTCTGGTAACAATTCAGAAAGCCCACCATCATCCCCACACCCCTCAGGGACATTCTCATGGGAAACTACTACACTTTGAACAGGGATCTCCTGGTCATTCTCTGCATCAGTATCACTGACCAAACCATTGCCATCTTGAAACTCCTCTTGAAACTAATTGGCATTACTCCCCAAATCCAAAGCACCCTGATCCCGGAACACAATCACAGGCTGAGTTCCAACACTTGGTGGGTCTGGGGACGGTTCTTCTGCCCAGGCAGAACACCCCCAAAATGGCTGCAAGTCAAGCCCGGTCCCTTGTAATCCCTGCCCAGGTGTCTCGGGTGTGGAACGCCGCCTTGGCCAACCTCCTGCGCAGCCTCTACCTGCTGGGCCTGGACCGGAGCCGGAAGGAGCTGTTGTCTGTGGAGCAGGAGGTGCGCTGGCGTCTGCGGAGGCTGACCTTCCGGCACTTGGCCGCTCTGGCCGAACAGGTGGCCGCCGGGGGCGTGGAAGGAGGGCAGCGCGTGCTGCTGAGCGACCTAGTCAAGCAGCTGGAGCTGCGCTGGACGGAGATCGAGGACACCAGGACTGTGGTGGCCCTGATGGGCAAAGTGGGGGCGCTCTCCCCCGTCCTGATGGAGCGCCTGGAGGACAAGGTACGGATTCCTCTCAAGGGAGACCAGGGAGCTTGGTCCACTCCTTCCTAAAAACACACTAGACTCAATTAACGGGTGTTTTGACCCCTCAGGGCCTGGAGATGGCCGAGCAGTTCACTCCGGAGGATACCCGGAAGGTGGCCCTGGCCCTGGCACTCCAGAACCGCCGCTCCGTCCCGCTGCTCCGGGCCTTGTCCTACCACTTGGTCCAGAAGCATTTCGCCCTCAGCCCTGCCGTCCTCCTTGACCTGGCCTTTGCCTATGGTGAGTGGGGTGGACCTCTTCTTTCGCTTCCCTCTATTCTGTACTGTATGTTTTCATGAGCGCAGGTGGGATGCAGAAGTGTGTGTCTTCTTTTTCGTGCCTTGCAAAAGGACTGGAGGGTTGGAAAGAGCACAGACAATGGGAAATAACAAAAATGGTTCGGATACTTAGCAGACGGAGCCCCGAGTGGCACAGCAGGTTAAACCACTGAGCTGCTGAATTTGCTGACCAAAAGGTTGGAGGTTCAAATCCGGGGAGTGGGATGAACTCCCATTGTTAGCCCCAGATTCTGCCAACCTAGCAGTTTGAAAATATGCAAATGGGAGTAGATCAATCGGTACCGCTTCTGCGAGAAGTTAACAGCAGTCCATGCAGTCATGCCTATGGGCACATGACCTTGGAGGTGCCTAAGGACAACGCCGGCTCTTCGGCTTAGAAATGGAGATGGCAATGTTTCAGAAACCAAAAGGACTTATATCATATATATACAAAAATGTACTGACTTGGCACGCGGAAGAGGAAATAGTAAAAGATTCTATGGTTAGATGGGCCCAAAATATAGGCCAAGAGATAAAAATGTCCCAGTAGGAAAAGACATGGAAGAGAAGAATGAAATACACTGCATGTCAAAACCTAAAGGAAAATGTTTATAAAATGCACCTGCGATGGTATCTCTCTCCAGAGAGACTAGCTAAGATGTATAATTGTTTCAACAAATGGTGGAAATGTGGGAAAGAAAAAGGTACATTCGACCACACATGGTGGACTTGTAGCAATACATGGAAACAGATCCATGTATATCTTGAAAAAAAGTTAAACATAAATTTCAAAATGACACCTCAAATGTACCTTCTGAATATGCCCGAGGAAAAATTAGAAAGAAAATTTGGAAAAAAATTGTTTTACACAACAGTGGCAGCTCGAATAGTATCTGCTAGATATTGGAAAAACCCCGAGATACCTCCTTTAGAAGAATGGGAAAAATATATTATAGATATGTTGATAATGGACAAAATAACTGTATTATTAAGAAGAGAAATATTAGACAACTTCGTTAATGAATGGCAACCAATGACTCAACACCTTAATGTAAAATTAAACTAAAAATGTATATAGAGTATCCTATAAGATTCTAGACAAGGAGGAAGTGGATGTAAAGTAAGAGTCTATGATATTTTATATGTATTATTTAGATAGTAGACTGTGACCCCTTAACTGAAATATGTTATCAGATAAATGTTTATGGAACATTAATAGATAAAAAGTATTTCACTGTATGCAACAAACACTTGCAAATGTATGTCTACTTAAATAAAATTAAAATTAAAAGAAAAGAAATGGAGATGAGCACCAACCGCCAGAGTCGGACACGACTGGACTTAACGTCTGGGAAACCTGACTTATTTTTTTACTTAGCAGACTATATTACTTAGTGGATCATATTGTTGTAACCTTCCTTGAGTCGTGAGGAGAGGTGGGTAAGAAATATTACTATTATTATTATTATTACTATTATTATTATTATATTACTGAAATAATAATAACAACAACACTTTATTTATGTTCTGCTCTATCTCCCTGAGGGGACTCAGAGCGGATTACAGCATATATACAGGCAAACATTTAATGCCTTTGATACAATGAAATGCAGTGCAAACACAAATTCATAGACAAAGGCAAAGGCTTCCCCTTTCATTTCCGGCTTCTGGAGACGGTGCTCAACTCTGGCTCTGGGGAGGTGCTTGTGTATTCATCTCCATTTCAAAGCTGAGGAGGCTGTTTTGTCCACAGACACCTCCTGGTCGTGTGGCAAGCATGGTTGCATGGAGCTCCTTTTACTTTCTGCTGAGGTGTAGTATTGATGTATTCACATTTGGGGTATTATACTTTGCTTCCATTCCAAGCCTCTTCCCCCTTCTGCCCTGCTTTACTGCATCCTGTTCTATGCTCTGTGTCCTTCCCGGATTCACCATCTGTTTCTCCTTCCTCCTTCCCAAGGGAAGCTGAATTTCCACCAGACGCAGGTGTTCCAGAAGATCGCCTGCGACCTCCAGCCTCGCATCCCTGAGCTCTCTCCCACAGATGTGGTGCGCTGCGTCAAGTCCTTTGCTTACCTCAAGTGGCTCAACCTGCCCCTCTTTGAGGCCGTTGCGCAGGTGAGCAGCAAGTGCCAGGCGAGCCTCTGGGGGTGCTTGCATGTCCTCATAGGACCCTAGAGTTGGAAGGGACCCCCAAGGGCCACCCAGTCCAGCCCCTTCTGGCAGGCAGGAAGCCATTCAACCTGCATAGAAGGACTCCCAGGCAATGGATTCTAGGTTTGGACAGCGTTTACAGCCAGAAGGGTCTGCCTGATGGAATCTTTTTCCCTGGGCTCTCTTGTTTCCTTGTCTCTGGAGCGGTCGAAAACAGGCCTCTCTCATCGAATCATACAGTTGAAAGAGACCACGCGGGCCATCCAGACCAATCCCCTGTCATGCAGGAAAAGCACATCCCATTTTTAAATTTTTTGTGTGTGTGGATGGAATCTTTTTTTTCTTTTTTTTTTCTTTTAAAAAAATAAAATTGTTTATTTTGGTTACGGTACATAACAGAAAAGCAAATGATGGCAGATATAATCAGGTAATAATATTTTTTTGATGTGCACATGCCTATATACCTTAGTCAATCAACCAGTTAATTTTGACATTGAGTACAAATTATTATCAGTTACTTAACTTAATACATACTAGGATTAATACTTAAATTAATTAATACTAGGATGCAGTGGAACAATGGGGTTGTTGTAGGTTTTTTCGGGCTATATGGCCATGGTTTACAGGCATTCTCTCCTGACGTTTTGCCTGCATCTATGGCAAGCATCCTCAGAGGTAGTGAGGTCTGTTGGAACTAGGAAAAGGGGTTTATACATCTGTGGAATGACCAGGGTGGGACAAAGGACTCTTGTCTGTTGGAGCTAGGTGTGAATGTTTCAACTGACCACCTTAATTAGCATTTGAAGGCCTGCAGTTGTTTGGTGTGGCTTGTTAGTGCCTGGGGCAATCTTTTGTTGAGGGGTGATTAGATGTCCCAATCAAGGAACATGAAAGGCACTGCAGACTACTTCAACCAGAGAAGTCAGCCATAGCAGAGCACCTGATGAACCAACCTGGACACAGCATATTATTTGAGAACACAGAAATGCTGGGCCACTCTCACAACCACCATGTCAGACTACACAGAGAAGCCATTGAAATCCACAAGCATGTGGACAATTCAACAGAAAGGAGAAACCATGAAAATGAACAAAATCTGGCTACCAGTATTTAAAAAACTCTAAAATTACAACAGCCAAAACAGAGAGGAAACAATCAAGGACATCTAATCACCTCTCAACAAAAGATTGCCCCAGGCACTGCCAGGCCATCAAATGCTAATCAAGGTGGTCAGTTGAAACATTCACACCTAGCTCCAGCAGACAAGAGTTCTTTGTCCCACCCTGGTCCTTCCACAGATATATAAACCCTTTTTCCTAGTTCCAACAGACCTCACTACCTCTGAGGATGCTTGCCATAGATGCAGGCGAAACGTCAGGAGGAATGCCTCTAGAACATGGCCATATCCCGAAAAAACCTACAACAACCCAGTGATTCTGGCCATGAAAGCCTTCGACAATAGAATGGAACAATGGCTTCAAACTACAAGAAAGATTCTAGCTGAAGATGAGGAAAAACTTCCTGACTCTGAGAAAGAGCTGTTCAGCAGTGGAACTCTCTGCCCCGGAGTGTGGTGGAGGCTCCTTCTTTGGAGGCTTTTAAGCAGAGGCTGGATGGCCATCTGTCGGGGGTGTTTTGAATGCAATTTCCCTGCTTCTTGGCAGATGGGGTTGGACTGGATGGCCCAGGAGGTCTCTTCCCACTCTAGGATTCTCTGAGCTGCCTTTGTTTACCATCCCAGGAGAGAAGCAGTTCTAATGCCACCTTACCAACATGGAATTTTAAAATGCTATAAATAAATACATTTGAAGAAAGGCCCTTCATCATTTGAGAAAGTTAGAAAAAAGAAATTAAAGTCCAGGTGTTTGTAGGAACTATTGAGTTTCGAAAATAGCCTAGAGCACTAGAGGATTGGCAGCTCTTGAATCAATGCACCGATTGAAGCTGTTCATTTGGGGTCTGTTTATTCTTATTTTTTTGCCATTTGGTGCTTTCTGTCTCTTTGAGGATGAGAAAGGTAAGACGGAGCAACTCATAGTGAAGGTGAGAAAGGTAAGCTCACTGTTTCCTCTCTTTTGCTTCTTCTGTTCTCAGTACGTCGTGGACAACGCAGGCAAAATCACCCCGGTCCAGCTGAGCAACGTCATCCTCGCTTTCGCTCGCTTGAATTTCCAGCCGAGCAGCAGAGAGGCCTTCTATAAAGTGGTAATTCCTTTATTTGTGGTGCTGGGGCTTCATCTGGGTTGGGATTGCAACCCTGGAAGGGGTCAGGACTGAGCCAACTTGGGCTGTTTGGGTGTTTTGGACTCCAACTCCCACCATTCCTAACAGCCTCAGGCCCTTTCCTTTTCCCCCTCAGCCGCTTAAGTGGAAAGACAGAAAGAAGGATGGAAGCAAAAAGTAAAGGAAGGAAGGAAAGAGGTAGAGAAGGAAAGAGAAAGAGGAGAAGAAAACGGGGAAGGAAAGAAAGAGGTAGAGAAGGAAGGAAGGAGAGAAGGAAAGAAAAAAGGAAAAGAAGGAAAGAGGTAGAGAAGGAAAGGAGAGAAAGAGAGAGGGAAGGAAAGACAGACAGAAGGATGGAAGCAAAAAGCGAAGGAAGGAAGGAAAGAGAGGAAGAAAGGAGAGAAAGAGGAAAAGAGAGAGGAATGAAAGAAAGGGGTAGAGAAAGGAAGGAGAGAAGAAAGAAAAGGAAAGGAAGGAAAGAGGGAGCGAAGGAAAAAGAGAGAGAAAGAGGGAGGGAAGGAAAGACAGAAGGAAGGATGAAAGCAAAAAGTAAAGGAAGGAAGGAAAGAGGTAGAGAAGGAAAGAGAAAGAGGAAAAGAATAAGGGGGAAGAAAAGAAAGAGGTAGAGAAGGAAGGAAGGAGAGAAGGAAAGAAAAAAGGAAAGGAAGGAAAGAGGGAGTGAAGAAAGGAGGGAAAGAGATAGAGAAGGAAGAAAGAAAAGAAAGAGAGAGGGAAGGAAAGACAGAAGGAAGGATGGAAGCAAAAAGTAAAGGAAGGAAAGAGGTAGAGAAGGAAAGAGAGAGGAGGAGAAAACGGGGAAGGAAGGAAAGAGGTAGAGAAGGAAGGAAGGAGAAAAGGAAAAAAAGGAAAGGAAGGAAAGAGGGAGTGAAGGGAGGAGGGAAAGAGGTAGAGAAGGAAGAAAGGAGAGAAAGAGAGAGGGAAGGAAAGACAGACAGAAGGATGGAAGCAAAAAGCGAAGGAAGGAAAGAGGCAGAGAAGGAAGAAAGGAGAGAACGAGAAAAAGAGAAGGGATGGAATGAAAGGGGTAGAGAAAGAAGGACGGAGAGAAGAAAGAAAAAAGAAAGGAAGGAAAGAGGGAGCGAAGGAGAAAGGAGGAAAGAAGGAAGGATCAAAGGAAGGAAGGAAAGAGATAGAGAAGGAAGAAAGGAGAGAAAGAGGAAAAGAAAAGGGGAAGGAAAGAAAGGGGTAGAGAAGGAAGGAAGGAGAGAAGGAAAGAAAAAAGGAAAGGGTGAGTGAAGGAAGAAGGGAAAAGAGGGAGAGAAGAAGAAAGAGAGGGAAGGAAAGACAGACGGAAGGATGAAAGCAAAATGTGAAGGAAGGAAGGAAAGAGGAGAGAAGGAAAAAGAAAGGAAGGAAGGAAGGAAAGAGGGAGCGAAGGAAGGGAGGAAAGAAGAAGGGAAAGAGGGAGGGAAGGTTGGCCACAGCAATGCATGGCGGGTACAGCTAGTACTTTATAAAAGGTTACGAAAGGCAGTATTCTAGCCGTTCGGAAAGAGGCTGCCAAAAGAAAATCAGGGTCCTCATCACATGTTAGCTCTCCTTTAGCCTATTTAGCTTTCCTAGCAGGAGAATGGCGTCCTCTTCCACGGTGTGCTTTGTCTCTAGGTCCACGGAGGGCTGGACGACTGCCTGGACGACCTGGAGCCCCACCTGCTGCTGGACCTGGTCTGGTCGCTCTGTGTGCTGGAGCAAGCCCAGGCCGCCCACCTGCGGAAGGTGCTGGAGCCCGCCTTTCGTGCTCGCTTCCTAGGTAGGCCCAGAGGGTCCACGGAGGGGGCACTGCGTTGGCGTGGGCCTCCAAGTCACCCATGAACATTTTGGTGGTTTTCTTAGTCAAGGAAGACTTGGAGGGGGTTGGACCAGACCTTTCCAATGAAATATTTCCCAGTGCAGGAATTGTTAGGGATTGTGGGAGTTGAAGTCCAAAGTTGGCCCATACATGTACTAGAAGGACCTAGAGATGCCTAGATGGGTTTTCGCTCTAGTTCCTCTGATGCAATTATTATTTAACCTGTGTACTGGGGATCCTGGGAATGGCATTTTCATGGTTTCCTCCTTTCTGTTGAAATTGTCCACATGCTTGTGTATTTCAATGGCTTCTCTGTGTAGTCTGACATAGTGGTTGTGAGAGACTACACAGAGAAGCCATTGAAACCCACAAGCATGTGGACAATTTCAACAGAAAGGAGGAAAGCATGAAAATGAACAAAATCTGGCTAACAGTATTAAAAAAACTCCTGAATCCTTTCCCCAGGTACTGTTTTGAAGCCAAGTGTTACCCATCCTTTATCTAGCCCAACACTCAAACTACTCTATCACAGTTATTATGGACTCCAGCCTAAGTGTGACATAGTATTGTCGAAGGCTTTCATGGCTGGAATCACTGGGCTGTTGTAGGTTTTTCAGGCTATATGTCCATGTTCTAGAGCAGGGGTTCTCAACCTTCCTAATGCCTTGACCCCTTAATGCAGTTTCTCATGTTGTGGTGACCCCCAACCATAACGTTGTTTTTGTTGCTACTTCACAAGTGTTATGAATCGTAATGTAAATATCTGATCTGCAGGATAGATTTTCATCCACTGCCCAAATTTGGCACAAATGCCCCATACTGGTGGGGTTGCGGGGGGGATTGACTTTGTCATTTGGGAGTTGTAGTTGCTGGGATTTATAGTTCACCTACAATCAAAGAGCCAATGATGGAAATACTGGTGGGGTTGGAAGGGATTGATTTTGTCATTTGGGAGTTGTAGTTGCTGGGATTTATAGTTCACCTACAATCAAAGAGCATTCTGAACTCCACCAACTATGGAATTGAACCAAACTTGGCACACAGAACTCCCATGACCAACAGAAAATACTGGAAGGGTGAGCATTGACCTTGAGTTTGGGAGTTGTAGTTCACCTACATCCAGAGAGCATTGTGGACTCAGACAATGATGGATCTGGGCCAAACTTGACATAAGTCCTCCATATGCCCAAAGGTGAATACCGGTAGAGTTGGGGGGAAATAGACCTTGACATTTGGGAGTTGTAGTTCCTGGGATTTATAATTCACCTGCAATCAAACAGCATTCTGAACTCCACCAACGATGGAAATGAACCAAACTTGGCACACAGAACCCCCGTGACATACAGAAAATACTGTGTTTTGTGATGGTCTTTGACGACCCCTCTGCCACTCCTTCGCGACCCCCCCGGGTGTCGCGACCCCCAGGTTGAGAAATGCTGTTCTAGAGGCATTCTCTCATCTTGTTGTGTTTCTAATAATAATAATAATAATAATAATAATAATAATAATAATACTCTCACAACCACCATGTCAGACTACACAGAGAAGCCATTGAAATCCACAAGCATGTGGACAATCTCAACAGAAAGGAGGAAACCATGAAAATGAACAAAATCTGGCTACCAGTATTAAAAAACTCTAAAATTACAACAGCACAATAACAGAGAGGAAACAAACAAGGACATCTAATCACCTCTCAACAAAAGTTTGCTCCAGGCACTGTCAGGCCATTATATGCTAATCAAGGTGGTCAGTTGAAACATTCACACCTTGCTCCAGCAGACAAGAGTCCTTTGTCCCACCCTGGTCATTCCACAGATATATAAACCCTTTTTCCTAGTTCCAACAGAACTCACTACCTCTGAGGATGCACAACAACAGAGAGGAAGCAGGCAGGGACATCTAATTGTTGTTCATTCGTTCAGTCGTCTCCAACTCTTCGTGACCTCATGGACCAGTCCACGCCAGAGCTCCCTGTCGGCCGTCACCACCCCCAGCTCCTTCGAGGTCAGTCCAGTCACTTCAAGGATGCCATCCATCCATCTTGCCCTTGGTCGGCCCCTCTTCCTTTTGCCTTCCACTTTCCCCAGCATAATTGTCTTCTCCAGGCTTTGCTGTCTCCTCTTGATGTGGCCAAAGGACTTCCACTTTGTCTCTAGTCTCCTTCCCTCCAGTGAGCAGTCGGGCTTTATTTCCTGGAGGATGGACTGGTTGGATCTTCTCGCAGTCCAAGGCACTCTCAGCACTTTCCTCCAACACCACAGCTCAAAAGCACCTCTCTTCCTTCGCTTGGCCTTCCAATCACCTCTCAACAAAAGATTGCTCCAGGCAGTCAGGCCATTATATGCTAATCAAGGTGGTCAGTTGAAACATTCACACCTAGCTCCAGCAGAGAAGAGTCCTTTGTCTCACCCTGGTCATTCCACAGATATATAAACCCATTTTCCTAGTTCCAACAGAACTCACTACCTCTGAGGATGCTTGCCACAGATGCAAGTCAGGAGAAAATGCCTCTAGAACATGGCCATACAGCCCAAAAAAACCTACAACAACCCAGTAATTCCAGCCATGAAAGCCTTCAACAGTAGTATTTTCTGCTTTAGTCAGGAGCTGCAATCAAGAAATAGCCACAAGGTGGCACTGTCTCCCAAGAAGGAAAGGGAACTGGCTCATCAGCTGCAAAGGTGGGTGAGCCATGTGTGGGGAGCAAAACCCCCCAGGCCCACACACAGGAACTCCTAAAACATTTGCAAAATGGGGATAGGAAGGGACACAGTGTCACCTTGGGTCATCCTTTTGGGGACGAAGTTGGAGATGTTGGGATGCGGCAGTCCCATGCAGGGCAGAAGCTGGCCGATCTGGCCCAGAATGTGCAGGTGTCACATCAGCCCCTTCAGCTTGGAAAGGGAGCTTTCAAACAGTTGCTTCCAGGACATGACTCCATTCACAAGCCATGGAAACACAGGGTTTCTGTCTGGCCAATGTGTTCTAGCAGCATTTTCTCCTGACGTTTTGCCTGCATCTGTGACTGAATGGCGTCTTCGGAAAATCTGATGGTGGTAGAACAAAAGGAATATTATTTATTTATTTATTTGCAGCTTTTATATTCTGCCCTTCTTCTCACCCCGCAGGGGACTCAGGGTGGATTACAGTGTACACATATATGGAAAACATTCATGTCAATTTGACATACAACATATACAGACATACACAGAGGCTATTTAACTTTTTCTGGCCGCCAGGGGAGCTGTCGCTTTCATCGTCCATCTGCGACACTGATGAAGTACTTCCGCATTCCCCGCATTCTTTTGCTTTGCTGGAGTCTTTTTATGGCCTCATAAATCAGTTAATTTAGCCTCCCCACACTTTAAGGTGGTACCTAATTTTCCTACTTGACAGATGCAACTGTCTTTCGGGTTGCAAAGGTCGACAACAGGCTACACACAATTGGTTGGAAACCCACTCCAACCCGGGATGGCTTCGAACTCATGACCTTTTGGTCAGAGTGATCTTAATGCAGCTGACACTCAGCCAGCTGCGCCACAATCCCGGTGCCATGGACACTGTGGAGTGTCCAGGGTGGGAGAAAGAACCAATGTGTGGATTGTCCAGGGTGGGAGAAAGAACCAAGGGTGCATAGAAAGCCTGATTTGCAAGTGTTTGCATGAGATCCATCCATTAGCATGTGATTAACACTACCCAGGGATATATATTCCACTTGCTTGACCACCATTGGATCCTCTGAAGATGCCAGGCACAGATGCAGGCAAAACGTTGGGAGGAAATGCTGCTAGAACACAGTCATACAGCCCGGAAACCATACAACTCCCCTGTGATTATGGTAGTGAGAATACAAGAGAGGAGATTCCATCTGAACATGAGGAAGAACTTCCTGACTGTGAGAGCCGTTCAGCAGTGGAACTCTCTGCCCCGGAGTGTGGTGGAGGCTCCTTCTTTGGAAGCTTTTAAACAGAGGCTGGATGGCCATCTGTCAGGGGTGATTTGAATGCAATATTCCTGGTTCTTGGCAGAATGGGGTTGGACTGGATGGCCCATGAGGTCTCTTCCAACTCTTTGATTCTATGATTCTATAATGTCCCTTCCCTGCTCTTTGGCCTTCAGTGTCTTCCTCTGACCCCTTGCAGGTGACCGGTCCCCAAAAGGCCGGAACTACCAGCTGAAGCTGCTGCACATCAATGCCACGGCCCGCCTGGAGCGCCCCGACTACGAGGGGCCCTTCCTGCCGATGGAAGAGGGGGCCCCGCAGGTCAAGGAGCTGCATGGGGAGCGGAAGGCCAGCCCTTTGCAGAGCGGCCTCCGGGAAGCGCTGAGAAACGTGGCCGGAGAGGAAGGGAAGGTGCGCTTCGAGGTGGACACCCCCTGGGGATGGCAGCTGGGTGAGTCCCATCCGTCTCACCTTTTGTAAAGTATGATCTTCCTGAGAAGAGTATAATATTTGTTTGAATTAATATCCACTTGCATTTATGGAAGGCAACTTAGGTTTCTCAGTTGTTAGGCTGATATACCTGGCTATCTCTCTGAACTGTTAGGAACAAGATAGGCCAATGTACAAAATATATAGCAGATTTTTAGAAGTGTTAATATCTAATATATTGAATGCAATATTCCTTCTTCTTGGCAGCAGGGGGTTGGACTGGATGGCCTATGAGGTCTCTTCCAATTCTTTGATTCTATGATTCTATGATACTCTCCCATAAAATATATTGGTTTTTAAATTATGCTCTCAACAGACCAAAAATAGATAGTCTTCATTAAAAGTAGCATAGTTGATTTACTCACAAACTTTATATATTCAGCATACAGTTACATTTTTATTGGTTGAGAGTTTAAACAGTAAGTTCTCTAAAGCATTCTGTTTCAGTCTCTTCGTTACTGCAGACAGACAAACGCTCTCTCCAGTCGAATACATTACTGAACATTGACTCAATTAATAATAATAATAATAATAATAATAATAATAATAATAATGTGGTCCCAGTGGTGATCAGCACACTGGGTGCAGTGCCTAAAGACCTTGGCCTGCACTTAAAGACAAAATCGCCAACTGTCAGCTCCAAAAAGACCACCCTACTTGGATCTGCACACATTATTCGCCGATACATCACACAGTCCTAGACACTTGGGAAGTGTCCGATGTGTGATCCAATACAACAGCCAGCAGAGTGTCTGCTGTGGACTGATCTTGTTGTGTTTCTAATAATAATAATCATAATCAAATCATAATAAACTTTATTTATAACCCGCCACCACAAAGACTCTGGCACAAGCCAGTCAAGGTGGTCCCAGTGGTGATCGGCACACTGGTGCAGTGCCTAAAGACCTTGGCCTGCACTTAAACACAATCGGCCTGACAAGATTACCATCTGCTAGCTGCAAAAGGCCACCTTACTGGGATCTGCACGCATTATTTGCTGATACATCACACAGTCCTAGACACTTGGGAAGTGTCCGACGTGTGATCCAATACAACAGCCAGTAGAGTGTCTGCTGTGGACTCATCTTGTTGTGTTTCAAATAATAATAATAATAATAATAATAATAATAATAATAATATTAATAATAATGGCACAAGCCAGTCAAGGTGGTACCAGTGGTGATCGGCACACTGGGTGCAGTGCCTAAAAACCTTGGCCTGCACTTAAACACAATCAGCGCTGACAAAATTACCATCTGCCAGCTGCAAAAGGCCACCTTACTGGGGATCTGCACACATTATTCACTGATACATCACACAGTCCTAGACACTTGGGAAGTGTCCAATGTGATCCAATACAACAGCCAGCAGAGTGTCTGCTGTGGACTCATTTGTTGTGTTTTCAAATAATAATAATAATAATAACTGACACAATATGAGGATTTAAAGATTGAACTGCAAAGACTCTGGCACAAGCCAGTAAAGTTGGTCCCAGTGGTGATCAGCACACTGTGTGCAGTGCCTAAAGACCTTGGCCTGCACTTAAACACAATCAGCGCTGACAAAATTGCCACCTGCCAGCTGCAAAAGGCCACCCTGTTCAGATCTGCACACATTATTCGTCAATATATCACATAGTCCTAGACCCTTGGGAAGTGTCCGACGTGTGATCCAATACAACAGCCAGCAGAGTGATCTTGTTTGCCAGGGTAATAATCTTGTTGTCTTTCAAATAGTCAAACACAAACACCAAGATCAAACTGGCCAGCTGAGAGGACGTAAACTCCCCTGCCAGGAATACATCTTGGTAGCAGTTTGTATGACTCTGCTCCTTTGGGGAGACCATCCGGCTGAGGAATTTCTCTCCTTGTCCCTCTGCAGAGGCCGAGATGGTCCTTGACGGCGACAACCGGCCTTTGCCTTTGGCAGATTTCCCTGCTGCTCCTCCTCTGCCCAAATCGGGGGCACCCAAGCCTCTTCTTTCGGGGGTCAAGCGGTGAGTTTCCGGGCTAGATTTTGACAGTATCGGGATTGCGGAGTGGGACTGCCATCACTTTAGTAGTTGTGCAGAAGAAGGAGGTGTTGCTTGTTCCCTGTTTCCATAACAAGCAACCTTTGGGTTGTTGTAGGTTTTTTCGTTCTATATGGCCATGGTCTAGAGGCATTCTCTCCTGACGTTTTGCCTGCATCTATGGCAAGCATCCTCAGAGGTAGTAAGGTCTGTTGGAAATAGGAAAATGGGTTTATATATCTGTGGAATGACCAGGGTGGGACAAAGAACTCTTGTCTGCTGGAGCTAGGTGTGAATGTTTCAACTGACCACCTTGATTAGTATTTGATTGCCTGGCAGTGCCTGGAGCAATACTTTTGTTGAGAGGTGATTAGATGTCCTTGTTGTTTCCTCTCTGTTGTTGTGCTGTTGTAATTTTAGAGTTTTTTAATACTGGTAGCCAGATTTTGTTCATTTTCATGGTTTCCTCCTTTCTGTTGAAATTGTCCACATGCTTGTGGATTTCAATGGCTTCTCTGTGTAGTTTGACATGGTGGTTGTGAGAGTGGTCCAGCATTTCTGTGTTCTCACACAAGCATGTGGACAATTACAACAGAAAGGAAGAAACCATGAAAATGAACAAAATCTGGCTAACATTTTAAAAAAACTCTAAAATTAAACAGCAAAACACACCAGACAAGAAACAATCCGGGACAACTAATCAGCTCTCAACAAAAGATTGCTCCAAGGCACTGCCATGCTATCAATAGAACTATCAGAATTCCAAGAGTTGGAAGAGGACCTCCTGGGCCATCCTCCAGTCCAAAACCCCGTCATTCCAAGATAGATAATAATTCCTAGTTCCAACAGACCTCACTACCTCTGAGGATGCTTGCCATGCAGGCGAAACGTCAGGAGAGAATGCTAGAGGCACTGCCAGGCCATCAAATGCTAATCCAGGTGGTCAGTTGAGACATTCACACCTAGCTCCAGAAGACAAGAGTCCTTTGTCCCACCCTGGTCATTCCACAGATATATAAACCCATTTTCCTACTTCCAACAGACCTCACTACCTCTGAGGATGCTTGCCATAGATGCAGGCGAAACGTCAGGAGAAAATGCCTCTAGAACATGGCCATATAGCCCGGAAAAACCCACGACAACCCAGTGATTCTGGCCATGAAAGCCTTCGACAAGCAACCTTTGCCAATGGGAAGTAGGACAGGATGAAGCAGAACTTGAAGTAGTCTCTTTTTTTGGACTGCAATGCCCAGAATCCCCCATCCAAGGGAAAGCGCAGCCCTGGGAGCCCTGTGTGTGTGTGTGTGTGTGTGTGGATTCCCTTCCTGCCCGGCCTCACTTCCGCGCTCTCTTGCAGGCTGGCCTTCCTGACCTGGGAGTTCCCCAACTTCAGCAACCGGAGCAAAGACCTGCTGGGGCGCTTCGCCATGGCCAGGAGGCACATCCAGGCCGCCGGCTTCGTGCCCGTTGACGTGAGTCATAGAATCATAGAATCCAAGAGTTGGAAGAGACCTCCTGGGCCATCCAGTCCAACCCCATTCATCCAAGAAGCAGGAATATTGCATTCAAATCACCCCTGACAGATGGCCATCCAACCTCTGTTTAAAAGCTTCCAAAGAAGGAGCCTCCACCACACTCCGGGCAGAGAGTTCTACTGCTGAACAGCTCCCGCAGTTCTTCCTTCCTTCCTTTCCTTTATCTTCTCTTCTCCTCCCTTCCTTCCCTAATCCCTTCTTTCTTCCTTCCCCTCAAGCCTTTTCCCCTTTCCTTTCTACTTCCTTCCTCTTTCTTTCCCCTTCTTCCCTGCCTTCCTTCTCCTTTCCTCCTCCCTTTTCTTCCTCCCTTCTTTCTTTTCTTTTCTTTCCTCTTTCCTGCACTCCCTCCGTTCTCCTCATACACATGTTCCTTGCTTCCTTTTTTTCTTTTCTCTTTCTTCCTTCCCTTTCCCTTTCTTTCCTCTCCTTTCATTATACATTTCCTTCCTTGCTTCCCTTCTTCCCCTTCCTCCCTGCTTTCCTTCTCCTTTCCTCTTCCTATTCTTCCTTCCTGCCCTCCCCCCTCCCCCTCATACACATGTTCCTTCCTTCCTTTCTCTTCACTTCCTTCCCTCCCTCCCTTTCCTCTCCTTTCCTCATACATTTCCTTGCTTCCCTTCCTCCCTGCCTTCCTTCTCCATTCCTCCTTCCTTCCTTTCTCTTCTCTTCACTTCCTTCCTTCCCTCCCTTCCTTTCTCTTTCTTTCCTCTCCTTTCCTCATACATTTCCTTCCCTTCTTTCCCTTCTTCCCTGCTTTCTTCTCCTTTTCTCTTTCCTTCCTTTCTTCCTTCCTGCCCTCCCTCCGTTCCCCTCATACACATGCTCCTTGCTTCCTTCCTTTCTCTTCACTTCCTTCCTTCCCTCTCTTTCCTCTCCTTTGCTCATACATTTCTTTTCTTCCCTTCCCCCTTCCTCTCTGCTTTCTTCTTCTTTCCTTTCTGTCCTTCCTACTTGCCCTCCCTTCATACCCCCTCATTCACATGTTACTTCCTTCCTCTTCACTTCCTTCCCTCTCTTCATTTCCTCTCCTTTCCTCATACATTTCCTTCCTTCCCTTCTTCCCCCTTCCTCCCTGCCTTCCTTCTTCTTCCTTCCTTCCTCCTTCCTGCCCTCCCTCCATTCCCCCTCACACACACGTT